GGCGGGGACAAGCAGTGGAAGGAAAGAAGGAAACTGGTAGCTTAGTTATTGAACACCTAATAGCATTCCCATTTCACCACCAGCCTGGCCAAGGTGCAGCAGGCAAGGAGTGAAAGAAGCCTGGGTATTGGGAAAGCAGTTGTGTTGAAAGGGCAAAGAGGAAGTGTTATGAAACCAGCAACTAGCTCAAGTGTTTTCCCTCTGCAAAGATGATACACAAGCAAGACAGGAATCTCTTTTCTTAGCTGAGTTAGCGCCAGTGTCTGTAGCTTAAGCCCAGCTCCCTGAGAAAGCCAGAACATCCCTGGAGAGCAGGATGAATTGGTAACCAAAGGGAGAGGAAGCTCTCCAAGGGCATGAATGTGAGGCCTCAGAAGAAATTCAGATGCAAGAGTCCATGCTCAGAGCCCAGACCTCCGAAAGTAAGGCGAATGGATGGCTTTTAATTCTCACATTAATATTTGCAGAAGCAAGGGAAAAGAGCGAAGGGGCTGATGAGGGAAAAAAATAAAATACGATTAAAAACAGCTCCAAGAACCCAGATGTGTGTTGAACTGATCGCCTGGCAGAGAGACAGATTAGTTAAAGTAACAGTCACACACTTTGTTAGCCCAAAACTAAATCCATTCCTGAGGCCAACTCTTCAGACAAAGATTAGACTGGAGTATGGAACATAAAATGATACTCATGAAGAGTGTGCTTCTTAGCTCAAGTAGCTGCAGGAGACTAAATGGGCAGCTCCTGCAGGGAGGCGAGAAGAGAAGGCAAAAAGGGACAGGAGGTGGTTGAATGGACACCGGAAATCCGGGATAGAAAGGAGGAGTGTGCTGTCACAGTATAGGAGAGCAATTAGGGTCACATAACAATGTATGTATAAATTTTTGTATGAGAAACTAACTTGAATACAATTGTAAAATTTCACTTTAAGCACAATAAAAAAAAGTTGCACAAAAATTGTTTGCCAAAGAAGTGTTCTTCCAAGTTATGGACTCCACTACCTCAGTTCCAATTAAATTCTGATCATTCTCAGAAACATATCCCATTGCAATATTTGTTAAAGCCTTGAAATGTGGCGGGGGGCGGGGGGGAGGGTTGAGCAGCTAGGCCATAGTCCCTATGGCCTAGACTCTAGAGAAAATAGCCCAGAGTCACATTTAGACTAGAGCAGCCCAGAGAGAAGGCTAGACAGAGCCAGGAATTTTGTGGAATATTTAAAATATTCAGTGACCCTATGGAGTAGAATGAAGAGCCAAGGGTGCAAGCTCCAGGTAGGCAGATTTGGGGCTGAGGATAGGAAGGACTTTCTGTCGTTGAATGTTGTCAAAGATGCAGACTCACCTTGGGAGGCAGTCAGTTTCCATAAGCAAAGCAGAAACTGGAGATTAAGTATGGGACTACTGTAGGAGTCCCAGTATTATTGGTGATGGGGGTAGTTAGGCTGTAGGGTCTCTTCCCACTATTATGAGAGTACAAGGGTCTTCCCCTGCCATTTCAAACACTCTGAGGTGACGGAATTCAAACTTACTCATCCTCTTATTTGTACATTAAAAGAATGAACACACATGCATGCACACGCACACGGCACCTGAAGGTGTTGAAAGTGAACCTACAGAATCCATTCTAGCTAGGGGTCTCAGGGGCTTGGCCATGCACAGCAACCAGGGAGCCCAGGGAAGGTTAACAGAAGCAAATCTTCTGTTGGGATGCAAAGAAGAGTGCCTAAGGTCCAAGACTAAGCCCAAAAGGGATGAAGGAATGCTTTGAGTGCCTGGGACCTCACTGTCTCCACAGCAAAGCCTAAGGTGGGCTTATCTGCACCACAAGTGCAAGGCCTGCCAAGTGAGGAGTAAGCAGCACAACCAAACAGCAATATCTGGTTAGCCCCACCCCTCCCAAGAAAGAGATGTTGTTCCCCAGGGGCCCTGCCGGACCCCACCCATGATAAAATGCAAGCTCAGTTAGGGTAGAGGCGGAACAAAAGGAGCCCAACTAAGCAACCTGTTTCAAAGTCAACAAAGGGTAGGGGGCTATTTACTGTCTCAGAGTGGAGGAGCAAGAAAGGCAGCTCTGTTCTTACAGACTCAGGCAGGTTGCCCTGTGGGTGTTTGCATTATAATCCACTGTATGTACATATACACATACACTTAGAATAATAATACAGTAGTACATTCTTGACCAATGAGACCTAGGCAGCAAGCTTTATTGTATAACTTTGGCCAATCACGGTAATCACCCAGTGAAGGATCCCTGGCACTATCCCAACTGCAATGTGTTCTTGCAACATTTGTTTCCTTTAAGGTGGCCTTTCTGCCATTTGTTTTGTGTTCTGAAAGTTTTGAGCCTTATTTGCTGACAAAAGGTGTGCAAGCTAGGCCTGCTGGGGTGTGGTGGGGGGGGCGGTTTGCGGGGAAGCATCACATGAGACATTTAAATGTTTCATTGAGGTTTCAGGGCTTGCAAGGAAATGGTCCAGGAAACAAGAGATGAAGATCAGCAAGAAATTAGGGATTGGCAATAGTCCTTTGACATTATAAAGGACATCAAAAACATCCTGAAGCCAGGCAGGCTTAGTCAACAATTGTATCAATTAAAACTAGAAGAAACCAAAGATAGGTCATGCCTCAGGATAAATGGCAAGAAGCACCGGCCACTGCCAGTGCCCTTTTGCCAGCAGTGCATCTCAATCTGGTCTACACAACATCTACTCTAACTCTGCATCTGCTTCAGTTGGTGCTCCCACTGCAAGGACTGCAAGCCCTGAGGATATTCCTCTAAACCTGCTGCTGAAGAAGCTTATCTTTCGATTCTTGTTGGTAGCCTACTTTTCCAGCCTTAAGGAATAAACACATTTATTGGAAGACACTGCCTCACACCATACCTGATCCACAAGGTTCCAGCTCTCGCATTTTATAGACAAACCAGGGCTAAAGAGGGTGAGGTTATTTGCTCAAGGTAACCATCAGGTAGTGTTAGGACTAGAAGCCACATCTCCAGACTTACAATTCAATGTACTTTTTTCATCATCCCCTTGTGTACTGGCTCTCACTTTATATACCAGATTCTCATTACCCAACTGATTCTAAAGAAGCCCTAGTGTGAATATAGAGACCTTGTTTTACAGCAGCTCTTACTTAAGTGCCTGGAGCAAGTCTACTCCTAGCACCACAAGAGCCAAGTTTGATTCCAGCTTGCTTCCCAGCCACACTGCCCTGCCCAACCCTCCAGAATTCATGCACTTGCTCATTCATTCAACAAAAATCTACTGGGCACCTACTGTGGTCCCTGGTCCTTTGCTAAAGATATAGTAGGGAGTAAAAACAGTTTAGATCCCTGCTCTCATGGAGCTTATAGAAACATTTCTTGAATAGTCACACTAATGAATATACAATTATAAACTGAAAGAAGTGTTCTGAAGGGCAGGAATACATGTCAATAAAAGTCTATGTTATAGGGGCCTGACCTAGAAGGGTTGTGTAGGGAAGGGCTCCTTGAGGAAGGCCTGAAGTGAAAGCTGAAGGATGAGGAATTAACTAGCTAAGAGGGAGGAGGCAGTCTGAGACGGAAGAAACAGCATGTGCAAGTCCTACATTCTGTGGCAAGAGTGAGCAAGATGCATTCAAGGGAGCCGAGGGGGCACTTTTTGAGAGAAAGTGGAGAAAGGAGTTACCAGCAATTCATTCTAAGGAAGCCTGAATAACAACCAGGGTTCCTGACAATCCAGTCTTAGCCACTCAAGAGAAAAGTCAGAAATACACCTGCTTCTTTTTCCTCTTCCCAGCACAATAGTGGCATAAAAGCTTTTTATGAAATCCTAACCTTTCAAAAACAGTTGTTACAGAAACTGTGACATGGCAGATGTTTGTTAGGACCAGAAGAGGCAAATACAGAGGGAGACAACAGCACATTCGCTCTCAAAGCATTTTTATTTACAAACAGCAATTTCCATTGACTTTATTTATACCATAAAAAAGCCATTTACAAGCAAGAAACAAGGATTCATCAGAACAAAATTAAGCAGCACTGAAATAGTCATGTCACAAATCTAAAACAAAATGAATACAAGAGTAAAATATCATTTGAATAAATAGTCTTAAAGTCATGCTATAAAATAATCCTTAATGGCAAGTTACTAGTTGATACAGCATCCGCTTAGCTAGCTTCATTTACTTCATATGGTGATGAAGTGTGGAGTTGTGAGGTTACCAGTTTATATTGCAAGATAATGACACTGTGTTAAGTCATTCAAATTGCTCAACCATTTATAACGGAAAAAAATGTTAGCCCTACTAATAAAAGTGGTAAGAGATGGTTTTCACATTAGGAAAATGGTCATTCTCAAACAAACCGGGTTAAGTTTACCTCTTACTATAGTCACAGCAGCAACCAATGACTTGGGCAGCAAGTCTAAAGGTTGAATTCACAGCATACTTGTCACTGAGGGGCAGCAAGAGGTCTGTTTACTGAATCTGCTACAAGGAGCGCCAAGCAAGGCTTACTCCAGGACTTGATCAAGAACTATAATAGCCCTGTCTGTGCTAGACCCAGGAAGGGAACCAGAGAAAACAGGATCTCTTCTGGGCCAAAAAGTCAAGCACTCGGCAGAAACAGTGGAAACACTCTGGTATTTACCGAAAAAGATGTGTGTGACGTGTGACAACCATTACAAATTTGGAACAATGTGAATGACTTTTCTGAACCTTTAGTTCAGTTGCACTGAGTATTATGAAATCTATGATTTATGAACTAGTTTCATATAAAGAATTTACACAATTCCCCAATGCTTTCATATATAAAATTTAATAAATAACCCTGACCAGTCTAGAAGCACCATTCAAGGGGCGTGTGCCCTTGGAAAATAGTTTAGGTGTTGCATATTTGAGTCCCTTTCAGTGGAGGCTTCACAGGAAACCATTACAGATTTTAACAATAACGATGACAACATAAAAATCACAGTAACTAATAGAAAAAGTTGTTAAAATAAAATACACTGATCTCTTTAAAGTAAAGCTCATTCACACAGATGATTTTCCTCCCAGCCCTTGTTTTGTATTCCTGCAAGTTCTTCCTAAAATTTAGCCTGTAGAAACAGAACTAAAAACAAAACCACACACAAAAATATGCAGGTCTATGGTCTGGGCTAAGGGAAAAACAAAGACTTGGTTATGACTACTATTATTAGAAAAGACATCTACTCATGCTCTGGATGATTATTAAAAAAAAAACTATCAATTTAATTCTACAGTATATTCTGCTTAACAGTGAACCGACAGTATCCTTTCTGCTGTTTAAAAAAATAAAAAAACCAAGGCAGAGCCGATTGGGAGGCTTTCCACTGACCAAAAAATTAACTTGTCATCAGATACTGTATTTACAAATATAATTTCTAAATGTATTTACAGCTGTAGTAGAAATTATAGGATAGAGAACTGATTAAAATGAAAGTAACTGTTTAGAACCACAAACATTAGTAAAAGTATAAGCTTCTTTGTTTTCACAGTTTGTAATAACAGGTTAAACAACTATAGGAAAAAAAAGGACGCTGTCACTGTCTTCACATTGTCTACGTATTGAAAAAGGTAGCTCAAGAAGAGACTCAATTATGAACAAGCCTATATGAATTTAGGATATATTTACTGTAAAAGATTTCTTCACATATCACTTTATCTTAATTGATTTCTGCATTTGTTATAAATGAAACATCTAACCTAAAACTGTACAGAAATAGGGACTTTGCTTTCCAAAAACAGTTGCTCTAAGGAGTTACAATAGCGTACTTCGTCTGTGGAGACATGAACTTCGGGGAGAGAATGTTTCTGTTCTGTGGTCATGTTAATCCTCCTGGCACATCCTCATGTGACAAGGCACAATTAATTGCTGCTGCCGGAGTTAATCTTTCACAGCCATGCACACTGGGAAGCATGGCAATATGAGTGCTCAGAGAGGCTACACAGCTCTGTGCTGGTCTACGGCTGCCTCCCTCAAAGCCCTGTGGAACTTTACAGTACTGTGTTATGGCTTGAGAATTCATTCTTAACACTGCGAGCAGTGGAAAGGGTAAAAAGTGTTAGCAACATGAATGGGAGCAAGTGAAACTTGCAAAATGCGGAATTATGATTATTAGAGAGAAACTCAGTCAATTTTCTGCCCCTTTAACAGTCCCATTACAATGTTTGAACCTGAACTGTACAATCAAAGCAATGTTTATTTTTGTCAGAGACAATTTTGGATAAGTCACTCTTTGGTAAACTCAAACCAGTTAAACAAATTTACAAATACAAAGAACTCCATGTAAATAAGGTTAAGACTGACACAATGACAAGAACCAGGACATTCAAGGTGCTTGCCCCAAGCGCCCTCCCCTCCTAACTTGTCTCACATCTCGCAGAATGCTCTGGAGACCTCTCGGAAGGCCCCAAGCCTGAGTGAAAAGGAGGTTCCTTCCCTGAGCCTGACCTCTCATGTCCTTGATTTGGGCATTTCTTGTCACGAACTTAACTTGTATTAAAACACAATTTTTTTTGCATTTAATTCTTTAAAAAAAAAATCAAAACCAAACTTATTCATGTAAGGAAAAAGAATTCACAAACATTCACCTGAAACCCCAGAACATATTTAAGTGGGTAAACACTTGGGGTCCAGCCTCCCCTTGAGGCACACGGCTTTATAAAGGAGTTGAATGAGTGCTTCAGGGAGAGAACAAACCCCTTACTTAGGCAGTTTGACAAGGAAAAAGGCATACTATATACCCGATTTAGCAAGAGCCGCTCCTCTGGAGCAGCAGGAGTTAGAGTGTAATCTGTACGTAGGAACACTGATGTGTAGTGCAGCAGTTCACATGTGAGCAGATCTGTGTGCTAAAGAGATGCTACTGCACAGCTATCACCCCCGGGGGTCTATTACACACAAAGGGCTTGAATGGTTTTTGTTTTTTTCTCAAAACAAAACAAAAACAAACAAAAAAACCCACCATTATTTGTATATTAAGAGACAAAAAAGCATGGAAAACCAGCAAACATCTATTTTTTGTATTCCTTTAACTTAACTCATAGCCTATGAGGCTGCTCTTTTTGTTTTTGTTTTTTTTCCGGTGGTTTTGCTGCTCTCCTGTGGAGAACTGTTGGTTGTGAGTTTTCAGAGCCAAGGTTGTCAAGCAGAGTCTGGGGTGATGACAGCAGCCTGCAGCACAAACTCACAACCAAATTACTCACAAAATTATTCTTTGCCAGAGTATACAGTACCAAAGCAATCTTGTAAAGCCTGTTTTGTATACTAGAAGCACACGTGAGGAAAATCTAGAACTGAAGACATTTCCTAAAGTACTACTAACACATTATTGAAATAGGACTCAGGAAAGTTTTTATACAGTAATGTGTTTGCCAGCACATGCTTTTGAGGTCTCTTTTCAAGCTATGAACTCAAAAGAAGAAAAAAACTGTAATTCACTATTACCATTAGATTTCACATTTTCTATACTATACTGACCTAAAAGATACTTAACATAAAAATAGCACCACGTGACCAAAAAAATGGTGACATACACAGATTTGGTGACACACAGTATACTAGAGGGCTTTTTAACTGTTGGTTTCTTTAAGCAGGAAACACTGAGAGTGGGGGAGCCACTGAGGCTCTCATTAGCACACACAATACTAAGATAGATATATTGCTTGCAATTCCCATAGAGTATATCTTTACAAAAAGTACAAATTCCAAGTTCTGCAGTTTCCCTGGGAACTGCATGTAGAAAAAGTTGCTGTGCACCTGAACTGGCTGTTTGAAAAGAGAAAGAAAAAGAACACAACACTGCTTGGAGAATTTTGTAGCCTGAGCTACAAATTCCTTTCCTTTAGTGCGAGTACTAGCTTGTGGTAGAGTGATGCGATTTAGTTACCTGGTATGTATGTTTCTACAGTACGGAATGAAGGTAGATTTGTAGGCCAGTAAAAACATTGAAAACCACTGCTCCTTTGGGGTTGGCTAATATAACACTACAATATGTAAAAAGGTCAGCACCACAGGTCATCCAGCTCACCCACTGGACAACTAACAAAAATTCCAAATGGTTTCCAACTAGAGCACATTTTATGGCATTTGGTTTATGTACTTGTTATGAAGCAGAGCTATGAAGACTGTGATTTGCTTTGCTTGCTTTTGGACACAATGATTAATATATATGAAAACCATTAACATTCTTTCGTAAGAGAAATAAAGGGGCAAAACCCTAACATATTAGGTAGGGATGAGACAGAGTCGAAAGCCCTGTTCACATTGTATTATATAATCCTTTTACATTCACCTCAACTAGAATAAAATCAAATTTGAGAATGTATATATACCATATATATAATAATCACTTTATTATATATATATATAAATTGTCTAACTATCCCCTAAAAGTAACTTTAAATTAGAAAAGGTTACCCATTTGTATCGGCTGACGGCATCCTAGTCTCTCTTGGTGGAAACGCACCACTGCCAGCACACACAATGAGAGAGAGTATGCCTCTTGGCAGAGAATATAGGGTCAACCAGTTGGCATAGCTAAATCACTGGCAGATTTTGGATTAAAGAGTTCAGCCAGAGATGAATACTGTCAGCCTGTGTTTTCCCTGGATACACTGCCCTTCATGCTTTGAGCTCCTTGGGGGAGGGAAGATGGGGAAAAGGATAAACACAATGAAGTGTTCCATCCAGAAACCTCGGACTGCCAAGAAACCAAGAGATTTCCAGATGGTTGGGAAAACCAAAGATTACAACAAAGCAAATCACAAATATGCATTGATTAATGTGCTTTGTTTGGGTGCACTTCTTTACCATCTTAATCAGGAGCATCAGACACTGTGTGAATTTCCATTCGGGAATCTAGGGCCATCTCCGAGGCCGATGCATCATTTTCTAGTTTCTGTTCCACATACACATCTGTTCTCTCTGGGGATTCGATGCGACTCCTGACTTCAGCTACACCTGGGTGGTTTTTTCGCAGGTGTTGGTTGAGGGTACCTTGGAATGGAAAGCACTTCCCACAAATCTCACAGCGGAATGGTTTATCGTCAGTATGGCCCCGGATGTGGTACTCCAGCTGGTCCTTCCGTGTGTACTTCTTCCCACAGAACTTGCACACAAAGGGGGTGATTCCCATGTGGAGTCGCATGTGCCTGTCAAGGCTTCCTTTCTGGTTAAAGGACTTTCCACAGTAAATACAGATCAACCTTTCATTGTATGGGTACCAGTGACCTCTTGCACTCCTCTCCCGGGGACTGCTCTCATACCCAGGGTTATTCACCATAGCCTCGCTGTCAGATCCCTGCACCAAACCCTGCAGATCACTGTGCATATGGACAGACAAAGCCCGCTTCTGGCGGGCACGCCCTCCTCGGAAACAGCTCAGCATGGACCTGGATGGGCTGGAATTACTCAAACTTCCAAAAGCTTCTGATACGTTGGTTGGCTGTGAGGCTGCTTGGGAGTAGGAATATGCGTGCTGTAGCACAGAGCCATAGGAGCCCACATTCACTGCCACAACTTGTTCCCCATCAACCATCTCAGTGTGGTACCCATCGTCACCCAAGGAGGAGCTGTCAGAACAGCTGGGCCGGTCAGACTTTTCCATCTTCACTTTTACCTCAGTGATCTGGCTCTCCCTCACCAACAGATCTCCTTGCTCATGGTCCCCCTCTATCTGAATCTCATACTCAGAAACACTCCCACTGCTCCCTCGGTCCGAGTGCCCCTCCTCCTGTAAGCGGCTGCGCAAAGCTTTGCTGGGGGTAGTCTCCATCCGAAGATCACTGCTTGTGGTGGGCTGCCGCACCTGAGAGCAATATGGAGGGGAAACCTCAACCGGGTTGGCAAAGAAGCTGCTTTCTTTAACTCCATTACGACTCTCTGGATTCTCTTCAGCACCAACAGTAACAGAGTCAACATCTCCAACACTGATTTTTGAATGGATGCTCTCTAGGATCTGCGTGCACTTGTCAATGACACACTGCATCTGAAGAAAGCTAGCTGCAGTCAGAAAACTGACAACATCCTTCAGCTGCAAGGACATTCTTCCAGTGTAACAAAATGAAAGCAACTGTTCAAACACATTGGGATTTTTAATCACTGATATTGACAAGCCACTCATGGTACTTAATGCTGAATGGTCCCGGAAATATGGGGAGCTGGCAGCAAGGACTGCTTTGTGGGCTCGGAATGGCTGACCCTGAATGTGGACAATGATGTCACATAGTTTCCCTTGCAGGCGGAGTTCATTTAGCTGGCTCAGAACGGTGCTGCTGTACTCGGGCACATCAAACTGAATAAAACTGCTGCTGTCCATTTCTACTGACAAGAAGCGTAATCTGCAGAAAGACAGAGTTTTCACAATTCACCGTTAACACCTCACTAAATACAAGTGGCATAAATACAAGCTTGCAAAAACACCACCACCACCATTGTAGCTATTATACCTCCGATGGTCTGCCTGAACATTCTCCTCTTGCTTATTATTAGTCTTCCACGTCTCGGTTAATTCACCTAAAGCCAAATAATCTAATGATCAATTAGCCTAGTGCCATATTTAGCTAACATTCATCTTAATCAAAATGAAAACATTTCACACTCAGTAGAGCTGCTTCAGCCCTAACTGAGAATTCTGTATCCTTTTTAGGAAAAAAAATTTCCCTGCTTTACCTACTTTTGCAGATTTGAAGTACTTTTTAAAAAATAAGTAAACTCATCTAAAGAACGTGTTGCCTTAGTTTTGTATTTCTAATTGGCATTTTGTAAGGATACTACACATTGGATATAATAAATCATGCTAAACCTTTTTTAGTACTATTGTCTTAATTTGCATTTTTTCTCTTCAGTTTTGCACACCTTTATATCCTCTTTGGGTTGGTAATTCATAGAGCAATGCTCAGTGCCTTCCAACGAAGAGTTATCTTTAGGCAGTAAAACGCATAATGGTTGCATCATCCTCCACTGCTACTCACAGCTCTAGCACATCTAGGTCAGTTTCCCTTCTTCTTGCCTAGAATCAGCAACACTGAATCACAAAAAAATACTCACATATATATAGCCCAGGCTGCATTCTCTTACCAAAACACAACAAAATTAGATATTAGAATTATTATTTTAAGTTTTAAAAACCCAAACAATATAAATTTAAATTCCTCCTGAATAACTATTGAATCAAAGAGAAAAATCAAAACAAAATAAAACTATTCAGAAAATGAGAAAACTCACACCAAAATTGCAGCAAGAAGGATTTAGGAGTGAAGTTCACTTTCATCTTCAACTAACTTGAAGACGCATCCAAAAAAAAAAAAAAGAGGTAGACAGATATGTGATAAAGCAAACACAATAAAATGTTAATAACTGTATAAACTCCTGATGGTGGGAATATGGATTTTAGTGTAAAACTCTCTCAACTTTTCTGTATATTTGAGAATTTTCATAATGAAATGGGGTTTTGAAAAAATTAACAAAGAACTACAGCACAGAAAGTCAGTGCCCCAGAAGTTTTTATCACTAAAGAATAAAGAATAAAAATAAATGAAATCACCCAAGAGGTTAGAAAAGGAATAATTAGCCAAAAGACAGCAAGAAACAAATATAGAAAAACAGCATATAATCACAGAGAATTGAAAAAATTACAGGACAAGATACCGCACAACTAAATCTAAGACTCTTGGCAGGAAAGGACCAACCAGTTAGTATAGCTAGGTCATGTCAGAATTTTTTTTTTTTAAATCACATCAGAATTTAGGTTAAAACATTTTAATCAAAGAGGAATACTATGCCCTTATTTATCCTAGATTTATGATTTGAAATCTGCACAAAATGGACATATTTTTAGGATCACATAAACTGGCAGAACTGAATAAAAAGAAACAGAAGTGCCAAGGCACAAATGATCTTCAGGCTGTTCACAATGTTCTGGATGCATGTAAAACATTTAAAGCATCTCAGTTCATATGTTGTAACTTATATCAGAAGACGACAAACAGCATAAAGAAGAAAACTGTCAACTTCACTTAAGAAAACAGATTTTAAAGCCCGAAAGAAAATACTAGCAAATATAACCTATTTTATTAAAAGAATAATATTTTATGTTCAAGTAAGGCTGCTTCACAATGTAAGGGTGGCTGTATGTTAGGACATATACAAATGTAATTCATAACATCAGTAAGTCAAAAAAGAAAAACCGTATGACCAAATCAATGTTATGACAAAAATGCATATAAGAAAGTTAAACATCCTTTCAGAGTAAGGAAAAAATACTCACTAAGCTAGGAGTAGAACAATACTGTTAATATAATAAACAAAATCAACCTCAAACCAGGGGCAATATCATCCTTAAAAAGGAAACATGTCTGTATTTCCCAAAATGTATTTAGCAGAATAGAAGCCCATGAGCTACCCCTAATATCCATACATCTTAGGGATTCAAAAACACTTCAGCATAATAATCCATTTGAAAAATCCTGCAGAAAAGAATTAAGTCAGTCATTTTCAAATTCATTTAACCAAAGAACTCTTCTCTCAAGGAACACATATTAATATTCCAAAGAATTAGTGTTCCCTGGAGCATAGTCTGGTAAGCACGATAGTAAATGAATTCCCATTAATGCCTGGGACAATACAAGGTTGCTTGTCATTACTCCTCTTACTTAACATTATTCTGGAAGTTCTAGCCAAAGCAATAAGACACGAGAAAAGGCATATAGCCATTAGGAAAGAGGAGACAAAATTACTATTGTGTGCAGATGATATTATTCACAGAGAAAACATGAGTCACTTGAAAAAATATGTTAGAATCAGTGTCTATTAAGCAGAGGGTTTCAAAAACAATTTTACATAAAAAACCAGCTAGGGAAGATAATGAAAAGTTACAACCAACAATAGCAACTGCGGTGTGATGGATCGCTTTTAAATGGCCTTTCTCACCATGGTCTTTAACTCCCACCAAATGACTGGATGAGACTATGCATAGAATATACTTGTGGCCCACCAAGAGAACTGGATAGCTTACTAACAGTGCAAATAAGGTGCATGGCACCCTTGTGGAAATAGGACCACGCAAATAAAGTATATGGAATCCGAATGAGGGCATTGGTCAGTTTTGCCATCCCACTAAGCGGCTTAAAACAAGCCATCCCAGAGATGGAAAGGGGGCGCCTCACTACCACAAAGAACAGCTAGGAGTGGAGCATGTCCTTTGGACCCAGGATCCCTGCTCTGAGAAACTCCTAGACCCAAAGACAGAGACAGCATAACATCCAAGATGGCGTGAGATGGCAAGCAGCAGCGGCAGAACCAGGAGACCAGCATCAGGCGTGGCTACAGTGGGTGTGCCTACCCATGCAGTGACAGCTGAGAGCCTTTGGGCAGGTGGCTTCCTGGTGGAATGGGGTAGCTCTGGGCATTTGTCTATGGAACTAGGCTTGATGGAGCTAGGCTTGCCATCCCATGGAGTGAGAGAGCTTAGAGCCTTTGGGCAGGAGGCTTCTTGGCAGACTGGGGTGCCTCTGGGTACTTACTGGCAGAGCTAAAGAGCTTTTTAACACTTGCCCGAACAGGGCAGAGCTTGGGGCAAGGGACCAAGGGGCTGAGGACCAGAGAAGGGCCTGCCTGCGGGCATGCCTGAGAAGAGGTTGTCCTGATCGAAGAACTGTATCCTGAGTTGTTCCTGATCCTGAATTGTAACCTGTTACTTCCCTAATAAACCTCATAACCGTGAGTATGGTCTGTGAGTTCTGTGAGGCCACCACAATGACTTATCAAACCCAGCAGAGAAGTAGAGAGTGCTGTGGAAGGGACAGCTGGTGTCAGAATCGGTAAGAAGGTTGGAAAGAGGTGCACGGTATGTCTGATCTCTACCTCACAGGTATCAGCTTTGGGCTGTTGATGCTGATACTGAGTCTCTCCTCCCCCTTCTGAAGTTAGAGGAGGTCAGATGCCCCTGTGCTGCCTCTTTTTTTTTTTTTTTTTTTTTTCCCTGTATGTGCTTCCCTCCCACACCCTCCTTTCTGGCTGGCTGCCTTTAGGTTTTTTTTTTTTTTTTTTTACAGTTTAACAGAAACTATAAAATGCCTAGAGGATGAAGAAGAAATATTCGGGGTCTACAAGAAAACCATAACATTTTACTTCAACAAGGACAAAAAAATGTAGAAATGAAGAGACATATGCTTCTGGCAGGAAGATTCAATGCTATCAAGATGGACACTTATCCAAAAAATTTATTTATAAATATAATGCAGCCCAATGGAATGTTTTCTTAGAAACTTGACAAAATGGATTTTTAAAATTCATCTTGAACACTGCTGTCCAACAGAAATATAATGCAAGCCATGTATGTAATTTAATGTTTTCTGAGCTGTATTTTTTAAAGTTAAAAAAACACATAAAACAAATTTTAATAATATATTTTATTTAACCCAATATATCTAAAACATCATTTCAAAGGGTAATCAATATAAAAAAGTTATAAGAGATTTTACATTCTTTTTTTGTACTGTCTTTGAAATCTGATGTGTATTTTACACTTACAGAATGTCTCAATTTCGACTAATCACATTTCAAGTGCTCAAGAGCCACACGTGCTCGTTGTTAGTTGCCACTGCGTCGATTCTGACTCATGGCAACCCCACGTGTACAAAGGAGAACTGCTCTATAGGGTTTCCAAGGCCGTGACCTTTCAGAAGCAGATAACCAGGCCTAACTTCTGAGTGCCTCCGGGTGGGTTCAAATCGTGAACTTTTTGACTAGCAGTTGTGTGCTTAATTGTTTGCACAACCCAGGCAGTCAAAAGAACATGTAGCTAGTAGCTACCATACTGGGCAGCAAAAGATCTTTAAGAAAAAATGTCGAGGAAATTTTTAAAAAAGAAAAATATAGTGGCACTTACAGATATCAAAATGTATGATTAGGTTACAATTCATTCAGCAAGTATGTACTGGGTGTCTTCTATATGCTAGGTGTTAAGAATCCAGGTTTATCATCATTCTATCTTTATTTTTTTCTTCCCCCTTCTCAAAATTTTTTCCCTTTTTTTTAAATTGTAGTTTAGATGAAGGTTTACAGAGCAAACCTGCTTCTTATTAAACAATGAATATACATATTGTTTTGTGACATTGGTTACCATCCCCACAACATGTCAACACTCTCCCCTTCTTGACCTTAGGTTCCCCATTACCAGCTTTCCTGTCTCCTCCTCCCTTCTCGTCCTTGCCCCTGGGTTGGTGTGTCCATTTAGTCTTGTTTTGTTTTATGGGCCTGTCTACTCTTTCGCTGAAAGGTGAACCTCAGGAGTGACTTCAGTACTGAGCTAAAAGGGTGTCCAAGAGCCATACTCTCAGGGTTTCTCCAGTCTCTGTCAGACCAGAAAATCTGGTCTTTTTTTTTTTCTGTGAGAATTTTGTTGTACGTTTTTCTCCAGCTCTGTCCAGGACCCTCTATTGTGATCCCTGTCAGAGCAGCTGGTGGTGGTAGTTGGACTTCATCTAGTTGTGCTGGACTCAGTCTGGTGGAAGCTGTGGTACTTGTGGTGCATTAGACCTTTGGACTAATCTTTCCCTTGTGTCTTCATTCTCCCTTGCTCCAGACGGGGTGAGACCAGTGGAGTATCCTAGATGGCCACTCACAAGCTTTTACGACCCCAGACACTATTCACAAAAGTATAATGTAGAACATTTTCTTTATAAACTATGTTATGCCAATTGAGCTAGATGTTTCCCAAGACCACGGTCCCCACAGCCCTCAACCCAGTAATCTGGTCCTGCAGGGAGTTTGGATGTGTCTATGGAGTATCATTTTATCTTTATAAGTCATGAAAAGAGCTATGAGAGCTTTCATAATGAAGGAGTGCTCAGAGAAGAGCACAGTGAACAAATGACATTCCAGATGAGACCTAACACATGCGTAAAGGTTAGCTAGGTATGTGTATGTGTCAGGAGAGGGAGAAGGATGCTACAGGAAAACTTTCCAGACAGAAGGAATCACATGGACAAAGAGATAAAGAGCCTGAGTCAAGGAGGATGTGTTGGACGTATTGTGGCACAGCCGGAAAGAGGCACAAGGGGAAGAGTAGAGGATACATGAGGTTGGCAAGATAGAAATCAGACCAGGACGGGCCTCATGGGCCATTTCAAACCAATGAAAAAGGAAAAATTGTTTAAATAGGTGCTGCTGGAACAGTATGAATAAACATTAATAAAGTTAGATTCTTCTTCACAGCATATCCAAAAATAACTTCTAGGGAAGGCATCTGTAAGTACATAAAGACAGATATCAGAAGAAATACAGATGTGACTACAGAAGTAAAAACTTCTATACATCTAAAAAACACCTTTTAGCAAAAAAAAAAAAAAAAGACTAATTATGAAAAGTACTAGAACATATATGGCAAAGAAGTATAAAACCCTCACACAAATCAATAAAAGCCAAATATAATAACTGAAAAATGGGTAAAGAATTGAACAGATACTTAAAAAAAGAAATAAAAATTGCCTTTAAACATAGGGGAACATGTTTGGCAACTTCATCAATAAACAAAGAAATAAAAATTAACATAAGACACAATTCTTTTTCAAACTGGCAAAGATTTAAAAATGCAACCCAGCTAGCAGTGTGGGAAAGAAGCACTCTCACACACTACTGTTAGAAGCGCACAGCTGTGTGACCTTTCAGGCAGGCAAATGTAACAGCCTAAAATGGGAATTTCTCTCAACTCAGCATTCTATGACATAAAAAAATCATGGGTTTATTCATAAGTATATTCAATTACAATAGCAAAACAATGGAAACAATCTAAATGTCAAATAAAGGAATTAATTATGGTACACCTATATACTGAAATACTATGTCATTATTAAAAATGATGTTAAAGAAGAATACAAAGTTTGCTCCACAAAATGTAAGCCCCATGAGGACAGGAATTTTTATCTGTTTTATTAACTAGCTCCCAGATCAGTGCCTGGCACATGGCAGACACTCGAAAATTATTTGCTGAATGAATATTTAATAACAATCAGGTAACAGACTAACTGCAAATGAGCATGAGGGATCTTTTTGGGATGATGGGAAGGTTTTAAAACTGGACTGTGGTGATAGTTATACAACTATAAGTTTATTAAAAATCATTGAATTTTACATTTAAAATGAGTGAATTTTATGATATGACATTATCCTCAATAAAGTTGTTACAAAATCAGGTAACAACAGAATATATATAAAGCAGGATATTTCTAAAAAGTATATGTGTATGCATAGAGATAGTAGATATACACAGAGATGATACTGAAAGAAAATACACAAAATATTTATATTAACGTAAGATTAAAGATGGTTTTTACCTTCTTCTTTGTACTTTATTTTTCAAGCTTTCTGCAGTGAACATATATTACTTGGAATGACAATAAATAAAAATAAAATATATTTTTAAATCCCTTGTTCTTGTTGTTGTGTACCATCAAGTTGATTCCAACTCATACTGACCCCATGTGACAGAGTAGAACTGCCCATAGGGTTTCCTAGACCGTAATCTTCATAGAAGCGACTGCCAGGTTTTTCTCCTGTGGAGCCACTGGGTAGGTTCAAACCACAACCTTTCAGTTAGTAGCCGTGCACTTAACCATTGTGCCACCAAGGCTCCTTTTAAAATAACTCAATGTTCACTGCAGCATTATTCACAATAGCAAAAAGATAGAAACAACCTAAGTGCCCATCAACAAAGAATGAATAAACAAATCGTGGTACATACACACAATGAAATACTACGCAACAATAAAGAACAACAATAAATCCATGAAACATCTCATAACATGGATGAATCTGGAGGGTGTATGCTGAGTGAAATAAGTCAATCACAAAAAGACAAATATTGTATGAGACCACTATTATAAAAACCCAAGAAAAGGTTTACACACAGAAAAAAACAATCTTTGATGGTCTTGAGGGAGGGGCTAGGTGGAGAAGGGAAATCACTAACTAGATGGTAGTCAAGTTAACTTTGGTGAAGGGAAAGACAACACAAAATATAGGGGAAGTCAGCACAACCTGATTAAGGCAAAGTCATAGATGCTTCCTAGACACATCCAAACACCTTGAAGGACCAAGTTACTGGGGCTGAGAGCTGGGCACCATGGTCTCAGGGAACATCTAAGGTCAACTGGCATAACATAGTTCATAAAGAAAATACCCTACATCCTACTTTGGTAAGTAGAGTCTAGGGTCTTAAAAAGCAGACATCTCAGATACATCTATTGGTCCCATCCCGTCCGGAGCAAGGGAGAATGGAGAAAATCAAAGACACAAAGAAAATATTAGTCCAAAGGACTAATGAACCACAGCCTCCACCAGCAGAACTAGAAGAACTAGATGGTGCCTGGCTACCCCCACCAACCACTCTCACAGGGATCACAATAGACGGTCCCAGACAGAGCAGGAGAAAAATGTAGAACAAAATTCAAATTCACAAAAAAATATCAGACTTGCTGGTCTGACAGAGACTGAAGGAACCCCCAAAACTATGATCTCCAGATACTCTGCTAACTCAGAACTGAAGCCACTCCAAAGTCCACCTTTCAGCCAAAGATTAGTCAGGACTACAGAATAGGCAATAACACACATGAGGAATGTGCTTCTTGGTTCAGTCAAGTACAGGAGACCAAAAG